TTCCTAGCTACAGTACTGCTAGCTTCCTTTCCTTTCTGTATCAAAGGTTGAATCTGAGGGGCAGCCTTAGCCACTTTCGTTTTTAGGTTGTTTCCTTTTTCATTATTATCTTTTTTCTTTTTTCCGGCATCCTTGGACCTTACACAAGTTAAAATATCTGGGGTTTCTCTCTCTCTCTCTCTCTCTCTCTCTCTCTCTCTCTCTCTCTCTCTCTCTCTCTCCATATATGTATTTGGAAACCTACTATATATAGTAGATTTCCAAATGTTTTTCTTTAGTGTTAGTCACCTTTAGTATTAGTTATCCTTCCTCCACTTTCACTTCTGCCCAGCCGTTTCTCACCTTTCTATAACCTTTAACAAATCTTCATATACCCAATTGGGCTGTTTCACCACAATTACAACACAGCTGTGGCCCACACTTCTGTGTGGCTGGCTCCTTTTTAGTTACATATTTTATAATCCATTGTAAAATCCACATCAGCACCACCATTAGCTTTCTTGCTTTTCCCAAACTCCTACTGTTTTCCTTTTCCAGTGCCATCATTCTGTCAGCTGCACTACTTTGTCACCCGAGTTCCCTTAGGGGCCCTTGCTCCTGACCTGGGTAGACAAACTACATATCACATCTTTATCTGAATTTTGCATAATTTATACCTTTGGGGAGGGGAGACACTTACAAAGAAATGAACACCTGACACCTGGCACCCAGCTCTGTGAGGCTCAGCCCACTGTTCCGGATTGCTTTTGCTCACAGTCTGCCTCATCTCACATTCCTGCATGTCCACTCACACAGAGTTCAATAAGGGGCCAACTGGGGGTCCTCTCGAGGTCCCCCGGTGCCCCACGGGGTCCAGGGCAGGCTGGCTCACCTGCTCCCTGTTCCCTGCTTCCCAGAATGGCACCAAATCCTTTTGTTCCAATCTCTCCCCTCACTAGTCTCCACCCTTCTTCCCAGGGTGCCCTGCACTAGCCCATGGCTCTTCAGAAGTCCAGAAGGAATAAATCATTTTTGGGCTACAACAGTGGATCATTGTGATGTCACAGTGGAACATTGTGATGAGAAAGTGGAGCATTGTGATAGGAGGATGTAGCAATGTGGTGCAACAATAGAACATTGTGATAAGAGAGGGGAGCATTGTTATGGTAGAGTGTACCATGTGATGCAACAATGAAGCATTGTGCTAAGACAGGGAATCATTTTTATGGAACACAGTAGCACTTTGTTTTTATAATGTAGCATTGTGATAGGACATTGATCTATTGGAATGCAACAATGGAGAATTGTGATGAGACAGCGGAGCATTGTGATAGGACAGTGGAGCATTGTGATGTGAACATGAAGCATTGTTAAAGGACAGTGGACCTATCCAGGGACACACACTCTGCGGTCTCTTAATCTTTAAAAGTTGGTCAGTTGTGGCCTTTTGTGTGCATTGCACTCTGTTTTCTCTCTACCCCCCATTCTGCTATGTTACATAAGTCTTAGGTGTAGAGGTTCCACTGTAGCTATGTTACCTAGGACTGGGTATCTCTCAGATGTATATTCTCTGTTTCTGACCAGTTGTAGGTTTCTGCAGTAGCCTCCATCTGTTGCATAAAGAAGCTTCTTTGATGAGTGGTATACAGTATACTTGTCTGTAAATATAAGGATCCGTATTTAGCATATCATAAGAAATTTCATTTGTCTAGAGATATGACAGAGATAAGGTTTTCTCTAGGATCTATGACCTCTCTAGCCATGTGTATTTGGTTGTGTTTACAGTACCACTTTAAAGCCCCATTGACCAGGCTTTAAGTCCAATTAGATAGCTGTTGATTACCCCCAGATAACAGTGTCACTACCATACCAATAGAGGTAGTTTGCTATGCCAGTCATTATGGCTATTAGGTTTTAGAACTGGGTTGGACCAGGGACCATTTTGGAAGAGAGGGCAGAAAGATTGTAAGAGCTAGGGTGAACATAGGGAAGCAGAAGCTTTCAGGCCATTGGAAGCTTGCACATGTGAACTTGTGGCATCTGTGACCAACTCAATCAGACAAGCCCAGAGTGGAGCAAGGGAAATGGGTGGTGGGTCTGCCCTAATCTGGGAACTATTGGAAACTGATTACTACTGGGTAAGGGTGAGTAGACCTTACAACAGTTTCTAGATAGGCTAACTAGACTCCAGTGGATGAATTTGCACCAAACGACATCTGGGTACAAATGCTTGACTAGATAGAACTTAACATGTATGGTGGAATACATGAGGTCCAGTGTGGGTGGATGGGGGAGGGGGGCCTGAATTTGATTAAGAACTGTCATTATGATTAAGAACTGAGCATTATGATGAGAAAGAGGATCATTGTGATCATTTAGTGGACCAGTGTGTTGCAACAACAGAGCATTGTGATGAGACAGGGTAACACTGAGACTGGTAACACATGTGGCTGCCAGTCAGTCACATGTCTGACCTCCATGTAGGCTGTAAACTTGCACAGCTTCATGGCTTTCTTTTCTTCTCCCCACCATTCTCCTCAAGGCAGTTGCCAAGATTATCAGCTTGCCTGTCCCTCTGAGGATTTTTCTTTAAAATTCTAATAAAATTGTAAAAAGCTTAAGTCTTGTACTACGGACTTTACCTTTTGGACTTTACCTTTAAAAGCTCCAGTCTCCTCCCAGTTTGGACGGTATTCCCTAAATTAGCTCAGAGAGTGTTGTCCCTGGCCAGCTAAAGAGACTCAGATGATTTGGAACTTTTTGAGTCTGAGTGGTTCTTCCCAGTGGTCCCAAACTCCATGACATCATCACAGTGGTTAACCGTATCATAACAATGTTCCCCTTTCTCATCACAGTGATCCAATGTTGCATCTCAATGATCTATAGTCTTATCATGGTGGTCCACTGTTTAATAATGATTCAATACCCTACCATAATGCTCCATTTTCACATCATAGTGATCCACTGTCCCACTAAAATGCTCCACTGTGCTATCACCATGCTCCATTTTTGCATCATGGTGGTATACTGTAAAATCACAATGCTCCCCTGTCTCATCACAATGCTCCTTTGTTACATCACTATGACCTACTGTTCCATCTCAGCACTCCACTCTCTTGTAATAATGCTCAATTTTTGCATCACAGTGGTCCAGTGTCCAATAACAATGCTCCACCCTCATCAAATGGAGCACTGTCTCCACAATGTTCTCATGTCTCATTACAGTGCTCCTTTGTTACTTCAAAATGGTAACTTTCCCGTTACCATGCTTCAATACCTCAACATAATGCTTCACTGCTGTATCATAAATGGCACGATATTCTGACACAATGCTCCATTTTAATTTTTTTTAATATTTTATTATTTTTATTTTATGTGTATGAGTGTGTTGCCTGCATGTATGTAAGTGCACTCATGTCATGCAATGCCTGTGGAGACCAGAAGAGGGTGCCAGATCCCCTGGAACTAGAATTATAGATGGTTGTTACCTGCCATGTGGGTGCTGGGATTCGAACCCAGGTCCTTTGCAAGAGAAATCAGTGCTCTTAACCACTGAGTCATCTCTCTAACCCCAATGCTCCATTTTAAAATCTCAAGGATCCACTGTTCCATCTCAATACATCCCTAAAGGCTCAATTACATTTCAGTGATCCGTTTTTCCATCAAATTGCTCCCGTCTCATCACAATGCTACATTGCTGCATCACAATGGTGAACTCTCCTGTATGAATGTACCACACTCTCATCACTTTGATCCACTGTCCCATTACAATGCTCTACTGTCTCATCACAACTATCTACTAATGCATCCCAATGGTCTACTGTCCTATAACATACCTCATTGTTACATCAAAATGTTCCACTGTCCCATCACAATGCTATCTTGTCTCATCACAGTGCTTGATTATTGCATCTATCTCAGGTGTCTACTGTTCTATCATAATGATCCACTGTCTCATCATCATAGACAGCCTATCATAATGCTCCATTATTGTATCACAATGGTCCACTACCCTATACCAATGATCCATTGTTCCATCTCAGTGGACCACTTTCCATTGTTTGGGTTGCCCCTAGCATCTCGTATTTCTTTACCTTTTCTAAAGCTTACACTCTTTCCACTGGGAGAAGGAAGTTTTAGAAAAGGTAAAGTAATACGAGATGCTAGGGGCAACCCAAAGCCTTGAAGAAAGCAAGTTTAGAAAAGGGATATGAAGAAGAAAAGGAAAAATTACACTTTTCCGAAGAATTCAGAAAAGTGGGCGCACTTACAGACTACATGACTGTGGCTGGTCCAGAAGTTCTGCACTATGAGGCAGGATTCCAGGCAGGAAAAATTTGCTATCTCATTAACACACTAGGCATCCTGCCCATCTATTTAGCATAATATAAGGTGAACCCACCTTCCTAGGGGTGGTCCTACGACCAAATGATTGACCAGTGAAACTGAAAAGGTGAATCTTCAACAGACTAGAGATTTTATAGTCTTTTGTAAAAACATTTTATTTATTACTTTATGTGTATGAGTGTATTGTCTGCATGTAAGTGAGTGCACCCACATCATGCAATGCTGCGGCAGTCAGAACAGGGTTTTGGACTCCCCTGGAACTGGAGTTAAGGACAGTTTGTAGCCGCCATGTGGGTGCCAAGAATCAAACCCAGGTCCTCTGCAAGAGCAGTCAGTGCTTTTAACCGCTGAGCCATCACTCCAGTCCTGAGATTTTATAGTCTTAACCAGTTAAATTTACCTAAAATGGAGGAGCGTGGGCTATTACAATGAAACAACACATCAGTGTGATATGACAGTGGACCTTTGCGTAGGAAAGAAGCTGTGATGCATAGCTTTAGTTGTCAACTTGACACACCTTGGTAGAGGGGCCTCAGTTGGGGAACTGCCTCCATTGGATTGACCTGTGGCCTTGTCTGTGAGGTCTTTATTTGATTGTTGAGTGACATGAGAGGGCCCAACCCACTGTGGGTGGTGCCACCCCTGGGAAGTTTGCCCTTTCTTAAGCAGGCTGAGTCCAAGGTGATTCCCTCTCCAAGGGGCCAATTGATGCCCTTCTCAGGAACATAGAAACTTGGAAGAAAACTTGGAATGCCGAAGGTCTTTGAGGAGCAAGGGATGCATATTTCCTTTGCCTCACTTTGGTTGCCACATGAATGTTTTAAAAAAGAAAGAAAGCAGGCTGAGCACAGGCCAGAGAGGCAAGCCAGTAAGCAGCTATCTTCCATGGTCTGTGCTCCAGGTTCCTGACCTGAGTTCCTGCCATTGGCTTCCCTTGATGATGGACTGTGCTTGTAGGTCAAATAAACACTTTCCTCCCCAAGTTGGGTTTGATCAGTGTTTCTATCACAATTGAAAATAACCCTAGAAGAGATGCTATATTCCCAAGCTAGGTTGCACCCACTTACCTAGGATCATCACAGCTAAACTTACTGACTGTTACAACCTGCAAGAGAGGAGGGGCAATAAGCATGATGATGGAACAGTGAAAGATTGTAGTGCAAAAATGAAGCATTTTGGTAGGCATGTGGACTGCTGTGATGCAAAAATGGAGCATTGTATGAAGACAGTGAAACCATGTGATGGGACAATGGATCACTGTAACTCAAAAATGGAGCACTATGATGAGACAAAGGAGGATTCTGATCAGACAGTGGACATTTAGGTTGTAGAAATGCAGCATAATCATGATGATAAGATGGAACATTGTAAAGAGATCATGGAGCACAGTATTACAATAATGGAGTATTGTGATTAGACAGTAGACCATTATGAGGAATTAATGGAACATTGTGATTAGATAGTAGACCATTATGAGGAAATAATGGAACATTGTGATGCAACAATGATGTAACAATGTTATGTAATGAGACAATGAAGTATTGAGATGGCACAGTGGACCATTTTGATGCTACAATGAACAATTGTAATGAGACAGTGATGTACTATGACGGGATAGGAGACCATTGTGATGCAACAATGTGGCACAGTGATTAAACAGATGAACAATTTTGTGGGACTATGGATGATTTTGGTGTAACAATATAGTATTTTGACAGTATATTGGAGCACTGCAATGAAATGTGGATCATTGTTATGCAACATTGGAGCATTGTGATGAGACAGTGGAGCATTGGGTTGGGAGTATAGGCCATTTTGATATAACAATGGACCATTGTCAAGTAACAATGGTGTATTGTGATCAGAGAGTGGATCATCATGACAAAAATGGAGAATTTTGATGAGACAATGAAACATTATGATGGCAAAGTGGACCCCTGTACTGCCACAACGCTGTGAAGCATTTTGATGACACAGTGGAGCATTATGGTAGGACAGTTTAACATTGTGATGCTACAAGGGGGCAATGCAATAGGATGTTCAACAACTGTTATGAAAACTGGAGCATTGCAATGAGAAGGGAAGATTTTTGGGAGAGAGTGAACCATTGTAAGATATTGGAGCATTGTGAAAGGACAGTGGACTGTTTTGATGCAACAATGGAGTGCTGTAAATAAGATAGAATAGAGTTTTGATGGAACAGTGGACCATTGTGGTGCAACAATGGAGCAGTGTGACAGGACAGTTTGTCATTAGGCTGCAAAACTGGAGCATTATGAAGAGACAGTAGAGCATTATGATGGGAAATTTAAAATTACAATGGTACAATTAAGCAATATGATAGGGTATTGGACTGTAGTTTTGAAAATATGGAGCATTGTTGAGACAGGAGCATTGTGAAGAGACTGGATCATTATGAGGGAGTAGACCATTGTGATAGGACAATGGTCCATTTTAGTGCATCAATGGAGCATTGTTATAAGACAGGGTAGCATTTTGATGGAAGAGTGAACAATTGTGATGCAACAATGGAGCATTGTGATGAGACAATATAGAATTGTGATAGTACAATGGACCATTCTGATTTAACAAATACCCATTGTGATGAGACTGCTCTCCATTGTCGTGTGACAGTGGAAAATTGTGAAAAGATAATGGAATGGGTTTTTTTAATGTTTTATTTATTATTTTTATCTTTTGTGTATGAGTGTATTGTCTGCATGTATGTAAGTGCACCTGTGTCATGCAATGCCTATGGAGGTCAGAGGGTAGCAGATTCCCTTGGAACTAGAGTTACAGACAGTTGTTAGTCTCTATGTGGGTGCTGGGAACCAAACCCAGGTCCTTTCTTTCCCCTGTCCTATCACAATACACCATTGTTGCATCACAACAATCCACTCCCCCATCATGATGCTTCACTTCCTCATCAAAATAGTCTGCTGTCCCATCTCAGTGTTCCTTGTCTCATCATAATGCTCCACTGTTTCATCTCCGTGGTCCATTGTCCCATCACAATGCTTCCCTATCTCATCACAATTTACCACTGTTGCATAACAATGGACCACCGTCCTATAACAATGCTCCATTGTTTCATCAAAATGGGTCACTGCCCCAACACATTCTTCTTCTCTGTCATGATAGTGCTCTATTGTTGTATCACAACAGTCCACTGATCTACCACAATGCTTCATTTTTGCATCACAGTGATCCATTGTCCCATCTCAGTGCTCTCCTGTCCTATCTCAATGCTCCACTGTTGCAACACATGGCCCACTGTCCCATCACAATGCTCCACTCTCTCATCATAATGCTCCATTGTTATATCAATATGGTTCACTGTCCTATAAAAATGCTGTATCATTACATCACAGTGCCCACTGTGCCACTGTGTGATCAAAATGCTCTCTCATCAAAATGCTTCATTATTCATTAAACTTCTCCATTGATGCATTACAGTGGACCACTGTACAATCACAATGCTCTCATATCTCTTTACAATGCACCACTGTTATATATCAGAATGAGCCATCATACAATCACAATTATACTTTGTCACTTCATAATGCTTAGTTGTTACATCACAATAGTTCACTTTCCCATCACATGCTCCATTGTCAAATCACACTGTTCTACCTTCTCATCACAGTGTTCCAATATTACATCACAGTAGTCCATTCTTCCATCACACTGCATCGCTGTCTCATCACAATTCTCCATTTTTTAACATAATGGTCCACTGTTGTATCACAATACTCCATTGTTACCTAAGAATGAACTCTTATCCAATCACAATGCTCCAGTGTATCTTTATAATGGACCACGATCCCATCACAATGCTTCACCATTTCATCATAATGCTCCATTTTTGCCTCACTGTGGTCAACTGTCTGATCACAATGCACTATTGTTTCATCAAAATTGTCCACTCTCCCATTACATGATCCACTGTGTCATCACAATCCTCTGCTATTACATCACAGTAATCTACTGTCCTATCACAATGTTCCACTGCTGTATTTACAATCATCCACTCTTTCATCAGAATGTTCCTGTGTCTCATTACAATGCATCAAAATTTTCCATCATACAATCACAACAATAATTTGTCACATCCTAAGTCTCCATTGTTACATCACAATGGTCCATTCTCCCATCACACACTCTACTGTTACATCACACTGTTCCAGCTTCTCATCACAATGCTCTTACAAAAGTCACAGGTCCCATCAAAATGCTCACTGTTACATCACAATGGTCAAATGTCAAAATACAATGCTCCTGTGTCTCATCACAGTGGTCCACTGACCCTTTACAATGCTTTCCTCACAATGCTCCATTGCTGCCTCACAATGCTCCACTTTGCTATGACAATACCTCACTGCCTTATCACAGTGCTTTACTGTCCCATCACTTCTTCCATTGTGTTAACACAATGTTCCATCGTTGTTTCACAATGGTTCACTGTTCTAGCATAATACACCATTGTTACTGAACAATGTTCTTCTGTCCTATCCCAGTTCTCCATTTTTGCAATGCAATGGTCCACTGGTGTAACTACAGTCTCTGGTCTACTATCCCATCTTAATGATGCCCCATCTCATCACAGTGCTCCACTGTTGCATCACAGTGGTACATTACCCCATCACAATGTTCCCTGTCTCGTAACAATGCTCAATTGTTGCATCCCAATTATTCAATCTCATTTCCAGAAATTTAATGTAGAGAACACTTGTATGCTTGGAATCTGAGGTATGTGTAATGCACTGTGGCATTGTTCATAATAGCAATATGTTGGAAATTACCTTAAATGTCCATCAATAGGTGGTTTGTGAAACAAAATATGACACATACAATGGAACATTATGAAGCTATAAAAATGAGGAAGCTCTTTGTAGAGAAATATGGGGGTATATAAAGACAGTTAAATATAAAAAAAGAAAGCAAAGCACAGGACAGTGTGGCCCTACATGACATATGTTGAAGAGGTGTGTGTATTTGATTGGCGTTCACAAGAATAAAAGCTCTCTAGAATGAGTAAGACATGATTAACCATGAGATGACTTGAGAGAGAGCAAACTGGTTAGGAAAGGAGGCTTTTCACTCTCTACTTTTCTGTGCTTTTTGTTACTGAACTATCTTATGGCATTGCTCATTCAAAAATGGAAAACACATGTTTTTTAGAGAATTACTTTTGGGGAGCTAGGTGTGGTGGCACACACCTTTAATCCCAGCACTGGGGGGTGCAGAGGCAGGTAGACAGAGGCAGGTGGATCTCTATGTGATCAAGGCCAACTTGGTCTACATAGCAAGTTCCAAGTCAGCTGGGGCTACAAAAAAATAAAAATAAAAAAGAATTACTAATAGGGCTAGAAAGGTGGTTGAGCAGTTAAGAGCAATTGCTGCTCTTGCAGAGGACCTGGGTTCAGTTCCCAGCACCTACATGGTTACTAACAACAGCCTGTAAACTCCTGTTCCTGGGATCTTACACCCTCTTCTGACATCCATCGGTATTGCATGCCCAGGTGCATTTACATGCAGTCAAAACATTCATGCACGTAAAGTAAATAGGTAAAAACAAATTTTTTTTAATGACTTATTTATTATTTAGGTGTATGTATGTGCCTGTATGAGTTTATGTGTACCACAGATATGCAGGTGCCCATAGAGGCCAGAAGAGGGCATTGAATCCTCAGGAGCTAGAATTACAGGTGTTTGTGAGATGTCCCACAAGGGTGCTGGGAAACAAACTCAGGTCCTCTGCAAGAACAGTATGCGCTTAACTGCTGAGTCATCTCTCCAGCCCGAACATGTTTAT